ATTTATATATGTATCCAAAGGGGATGAGCCGGTAACCATAAACACTTTTCACATTGTGAGTGAATCCTTGTCTATGGTTTGAGTCTTTTGTGCGTCAGTATCTCCCTTTGTCTATCACTATTGGACTCATCTGAGGCCTAAAGATGGTGGTAGAGGAACGGGTGGGATCAGTACCTTGGATGAAAGTTAGTAAAAGGTTATATGACTAAGATGTTGGAAGGATTGATTATATGTACATGTTTGATGTAGCGGACCCACCAGGTGTGGTGCTCCGCTAGTGACAGAGATGGAGATGGAGGAAGAAGGGGGGAGCAAGATGGCACAACGCAGCTCCCCACGCAAGACTCCAACGCACGTACTCCCAAAATGTGCAAGTGAGGAATGAGGCTGAAAACAGACAATGGCTGGGGTATACCCCAGCGGACTGACGGGACTGGACTGGACTGGCTGGTACCGACAGAGGTACCGGCCTGGACTGGCCTACCCCGAATATAACACAGGTCTGTGARAACAGGCCAAGGGGCTGGTCTCACAGGCCAACCCGAGGTCCGCTACACGATGCTCGGCCTGTGATGGATCGCCTAGATACAAACATGCTTCCGCCAAGAAGCGGAACTCTACCAAAGAAAAGAAAACCTGAGTAGTCTAGGATGCGGAGCAAGCTCCATGCTGAGTCCATGCGATGCAACCTAGRATATAAAATGTCACAAAACAGCAATGTCACAGCTAACAGCCTAAGTGAAAGTAGGAGCAACTAACTAACATATATGTCCTAGGAAAGCAAAAAGTAGTGACAACTAGATCCTAGAATGTTGGAGACACTAGCCTCAGTCTGGTAACAACTGACTAGTGTGTAAGTCCTAAGAACAGCAAAAGCATAACAACTAAATCCTAGAAATGTCGGAGGCAGTAGCCTCAGTCTGAGAGSAASAAAGCWATCAAYAAGACAACCATATGTCACATGAGAAGTGTGTCGCACACCAAAGGGTGGGATGGTCTCTGAGGGTGGCGAATGCAGCCTAGGGGTTGAAAACTCCTAAGGGCATCCACACATAGTGACAGGGGAAAAYGCATGTCATCAGGCTCAATGAGGGTAGGGAACTGGGAGCGAACAGAACCAATGACCCTAACAGATAGACCATAAGGGCGGGTAATGCTCGACTAAGTGGTGACTGCTATGGAGGGTCAACCATGCAAGGGAACAAGGGAGCCTGGTATGCTGGGCGCACCTAGATGAAGCATGCGGGGCTGCCTAACTAGGGCGTGAGGGCCGGCGAAGGGTAGAAAGATGATGGGTAAGGGAATCATGCAAATGACTCCTAAA